GTACGAGAAGCTGGAAGCCGAGAAGGGGACAAGTTCGTCTTCCGACACAAGCAACGCGATGCCAAGCTTGTGCAGCTGGAGTGCTGTTATGCCGTCGCCCCTATCTGTGGGCTATCGTTGCGTGGAATTCCTCGTTTAGGAGTCCCTCGAAGTATATTCTTCCCACCTCTTTCTGACTTTTGCTCGTGTCCTGAGAATGGCTGCTTTCACAAATCTTAAGACCGCGACTGATGTCCTGAGCAACGCGATGCCGACCTTTAGCTAGGCGGAAGACAAAATTGTCCCCTCCTCGGCTCTCCAGCTTCTCGCACAGGGCGTGCGTTTCTGTGTTCTTGGTCTTAGCAACTGCTGCCTTTGCTAGTCGCTTGCAGCTCTTGAAGGCAGCGGAAGTCCTGGGGTACCTTGTACTCTGCCACGTCATATGTTCCTCTCTGCATGACGACTCCTGGATTCCTAGTTTCAAAACCAGGAGGGACCGCGCACGCCTGTCTCGCTGATAACCTCACCTATCTCCCAGGACTTCCTTTGCACGCTGTAGGATGACCTCTGCTGCGTAGGCCCAGATGTGGACTGGCCCATGTGGGTCTGGGAGCCCAGCCTCCAGTATTCTTTGGCCGAGGCTTTCCTTTTCTGCGCTGCGCAATTTCCACCACCGGCTTCTCCGCTCTGTTCTCACCTTCGTCTTCTCGGGGAGGTCTATGGCGATGTCTGCCTCGAGAAGCCTGTGCTGAGGGCCCAGCAGCCCCCAGACGGTGTCTTGAAATCCTTGACGGTTGACACATGAGCTTTTTCAGCCGAACAGCGATCGATTCTGTTGTATCCCCTCACCTGCCTGGTAGGTTCATTGAGTACTCGCTTCTGGGGGTGCTTCAGATAGCTGAGTCGTGGCTGTGGCCTGGCATGAGCCATTCTCCCTCTCGTTCATGCTATTATTTTGAGCCTCCGTGCAGCGGCCTTAGCTAGGTCCCTCTGTTACTCCACTTCCAAATGACCAATTCAGATTCCCAGCTAGGGTGAGCTAGGCATTCTTCGGAGAAACGCGATCTCTAATGACGTCGTCCAGATTAGGTAACTTGTGCTTTTTCGCCCGCGGGAGCAAAGTGCGTACACCGTCAGAGATGTCCAGACGGCCCCTCTGCGTGTCCACCTCCCACTCCCAAATCCATTACTATCTGTCACAGAGACAGACGACGTCTCTTGAGGAATTCTGCCATCGCTATGGCCACGCCATTCCGCTTGATGTCTCCTCCATTGTACAAGAGTTTGACCCCTTCCCCGGTCTCGCGGGCCTTCGCACCTTTACGTCGCCTTTTTCTGAAGACATAGGATTTGGATATTGCGTCCCATGAGGTCGACAACCTCACGAGGATTCCCGGCAAGCGACCCAGTGTTTGGTCAGATTCCAACTCGAACGTAGCTTTTTGGCGAGGCGTGTCACTCTCAGTAGCCCTCGCATACTGTACGTACATTTTTCGTGGTCCAGTGTCATCGCTCCTATAACAGTGGAGCAATAAAAAAGTCGCTTTTCTTCCTTGACCTTCGAGGCGCTATAAGTTACACATTATTAAATTCTGATCGGACAGTTCCATCACCATCTCACAGAGCACATTGGGAAAACTATCATGACACTCCGCCACAGCCTTCTGGCCGAGCGTCATCGAGAGATTCCTGGCAGCGCGACCGGCGATGTGGTGCGCTGAGATCAGCGAGATAGTCGATTTCTCCGCCACCGGAGTAGACACCCTATTGAACTCCGCCCGAACCGGGTAATTGAGGGCTTTAGGTCAGGTGACCTACTTGGATATTCCATCTCCTTTAGGTACTCAGCGCCCTTCCATTCCAAGTAGGCGAGTTTTTCCAATGCCCTCCGATTCCATGTACACTCAATGCTGTAGCAGTACAAAGTTTCCAAGAAGGTACGGGCGACGACATGTGGGGAGGATATTCTTCTCTCGATGTAACCGCCAGCGCTCACCTTCAGTCCGGGGTCCACGAAGAAAATATCGGTCTTTCCATTCCAGGTACGTCCGGTCCATACCATCAACCCGTGCCTTGGCGACTGTGGTGAAGATGATGTCCTAGACCGTAGCGACGTTGTCGGAGCTGCTCGATGTTGGAGGTCTTCCAGATCGAGAGTACTGGTCTCCAGGTAGCTATCCATGGGTGACTCCATACTAGAAGTTTCGCAGCTGTTTGGAGGTGACATGAATTCCAAAGGTCTTCTCCAGTCAGGCTGCGACTGGAGATGACTTCATATTTTGGTGTACATGAAGGTGATGGGCGAGAGCCAGCTTATCGAGGAACATCTTGGGTATCTTCCGCCCTGGTACTCGTATCCACGTCCTCTGTCTGGGCTGCGAAAACTTTGCTGATATGTGACTCAATCGAAGTGACTTTTTTTTGGCCACCCCGATATATTATATAATCGGCTATATCATATGTGTGTGCGTCTGTCTGTCTGTCACGAAATTCATAGCACCTGAAGAAGAACTTGGAGAGGTCGGGTCATGGTGAGGATGGGTAGGGTATGGGACGATATGTAAATAGCATCCGTGACCCCTCACCCACAGTAGGCGGGGAGTGCACCGAAAGTTGGCGATGTCACTGAACACAATCATAACTCTGTTTAGGGCCGCCCAGAGATGGGGGAACAGTGCAATAAAGTTAACAAAGGGCTGGTCGCATAAATAGAAGGCACACCTGAAATGGGCAAGGCGTACTTGAGATGGGCGACGTTTCCTGTGTCACTGAAAAAAGCCATAATTTGGTTACAAAGCAGCTCGGAGACGGGGAAAAGTGGATTAGAATTAGCATTGGATTGGCAAAGCAAACGAAGGAGACAAGCGCGTGAGATAGGCGGTGTTTCCCACAAAGGACGGTAACTCGGTTCCCAAAAAAGATCAGAGATCGCAGAAAAGTCCATGACGAAGATGAACATCTGGCAAGAGTCCACCATGTTTGCGGCGTGCTGAGGCCGCCCACAGTGGGCGACGTGTGCTTTTGAACACGTACCAGATTGAAAAACCGTGCTTCGCCCTAAAGCTTTACAGATGGCGCAAGAGGGATTATGTTACCCAAGTGATCGAATGTTAGTATGTGCGAGGCACTCCCGTTGTGGGCGGAGCCTGTGCAGAGGTGGGCAGAGCCAGATACGAAAAAAGTTCGTAAAACGGTTCCAGAGCACACACCAATAAAAAGTGGTTCAAGATCAGCGAAGGGGTCATCGGTTGAGAAGCGCGAGGCATACGTTGTGGGCGGAGCGTGCCCCGAGGTGGGTGGAGCCAAATTTAAAAAATTCGCAAAACGGTTCCAGAGCACTCCAGACACCGGGAAAAAGTAGTTTAAGGTCATCGAGGGGTCACCGGTTCACAAGTGTGAGGCATACCCGTTGTGGGTGGAGCGTGCGTCGAGGTGGGCAGAGCCAGTCTAAAAAATTCTCAAAGCGGATCCAGGAAACTCCGAACCCTTCAGACCTCCTCTGTAATACGGCTCGGCTATGCGGGGCAGGGCTCTATCGCGCATGGGTGCATTCGTATGATCGATTCAATACCTGGCTTTTCTCTCATCTGTCCACTATATCACCATTCCATTCCCTTACCACCATTCCATGCGCCTTGAAAATAGGAGGTAGGATGCAATTGGTCAAAGAATGTTGACTGTCTGTTCAGACAAAAGAAAAACCAACTAAAAAAAATGCGGAAGAAGATAGGCGCGGCGGAGCCGCGCCCGCTCAGCTCAGCCGTGCTGTATCTCAGGAGGAGGCGCGCCGGCGTCAGCCGCCGAAGCCTGCCAGTAATACCGCAATGCTATTCGAAGACTTCGTTACCGTCCTCACACAAATGCATCACACCTGAAACATCTTTGGTTCCGACTGAGAGCTTATGAATTGGCATATTCAAATAGTTCCTTGGAATGCGATTTGACAGAGATCCTGGGAAGGCTCTCAATTTCTTATCCAGCCTCACTATAATCAGGAGTGGGAGGTTTCTGAAGATGGTGGATGGGTTCCGCAAGCAGTCGCTCCCAAGCGGGCGTCATGTGCCATGCACATTTACAGTCTCCAAAGACCCATCTCTGAATAGCTCAGTTCGAGTTGGTGAGAAGCAGCGTTTTCTGGTCATATGTATGGCAAGTTCCGAGTGCCTCTGGTTGGCCATCACAGATAGTAAATATGGATTTGCATGTAGACGACAGGCGCTGAGTAACTCGATAGTGAAGAGAAAAGCAGAAGAAAAAACATGCCAACTGCCCTAGATAGAACCCCATTTCGATCCCAGTTTGTACGTGCCCAATTAACTCCATCTCCAACATTACGCCCTCATCCGCACAGCTGAACTCCACGACCATACGAGTAACGATTTCGTGCTTTTTCGTCCTGCAGCTTCTTTTATCACTGAAAGGCGGGCTTTGGAGGCGGAGTCTGGAGGCAGAGACAAAATGGAGGCGTCACTGAGCTTGTATTGCTGCCACAGCGCCCCTCCCTCACGATTTTGCGAAACCGGTACGAAGTTGTTCGCGGACCTCCCGACGCCGCATTCCCAACTTTTATACCTGATCGCGGACCGTGCCTTCAAGAACTTTTGTTAAAAGCAAAAAGGTTGTCAAAAACGCTCACTCGTGTTGTGCCACTATCTGTCAGAGCACATCATTGGTTGGGGATTTCGGTCGGGTCCGTCCTCTCCCAGCGACCAAATGCGATCCACCTGTCGAAGGATCTCTAACAACCAACTGCTCCCTGTTGATGAACTGAAAACTTACAAAAATCAAGGCAGAGTGGAAAATTTATTGCAATAGCTTGTATAGCGGAGACATATCTGTTAAATATCATAGAACATATTGAGAAAGCTTTTCACTTTTCACGCAAAGCTCATATGAGAAAATGTCATAACTCTTATGCCAACCCAGTAAATGCGATCAGAGATAGAAACTCATGCTTGGCCACAACTGTATCGTGATCGTGCTCTGTAAAAAATGCAGTATCGTTTGGTCATCTTTTTCAGGTAGGTTTTATGATGGAACGGGAAAAAGACGAGACTGGTGGAAAAAGGAATGGATTGAACAGTATAATGAGAAAGCAAACTGTTATGTAAAGCAGTATGAAAAATTGAAAGTGAGTAAATACTGTAGTGGCGTCACGAACTGAGGTTCTCTCGCATTGCGGACAGGGCACGTTCTACCGCTGAGGACAATTTCGACTCCTCCGCAATCTCGTCCTCTGCTACGACCCCCCTCCCTTTCCCACTCTTAAACTTTTACCAACCTCCTACAACATTTCTAAGCTTCTTTCAATTTCCCAATTTTGCCGTCGACAGGGGGGGGGACCAGGGAGGAAGTCAACAACCGCGCAAAGTCAGCAACTGGAAAAAAATTGATAACGCGGCGAATTTCTTTTGAAAGCAATACCTTCCCCCCGCCCCACCACTCACAAGGGAGGTCGTTCAGGGCGTGGTGCGCTTTTCGAAAACGGTTTTTTGCATATTGTAGGGGCTCATGCAAGGACCTGAAAAGTGTGCTTCATTTTCGCTGCGCGCTTCCAGGAAAGGTAAAAAACGAGTGAAAAGAAATCTTCGAAATCTGCTTCGTTCTGGGCCTCTATACGGTGTAGGTTACAACACTTTAGAACCAAGTCTGATGGGGGTCGCCTTATAAAGGACTACTGGAATCGAAGCGAAAAATCGCCGCAAGTGAGCTCCCAACTTGGGTCACGTGCTCAAGGGTGAACGGCTTCTTGCAATGGTTTCATCAACGATTAGAGCACTACGCAGACTCGAGCATCGGATGGCCTAGTGGATAGAGTGGAGGTTTCGCAATCGGAACAGTGAGGGTGGGGTTAATGGTTCGGCTCCCCTTGCCTCGCGGCTTTTTGCATTATTTA